GGGATCCCTTTAATTACTTTTAAACTTTTCAGCTTTTGTCCCACACAGTAATCATTTTGTGACCCAGAATATCTCTGGTTGACTAATAATCACTAATAATCCCTGGCTGAACAGTCTAACAACAGTCTAATTATCCATTTATGACAACAATTTTAATTTCTCTRGAGCAAAAAMCATATGTACACATATGTATTGTTGAAGTTTTATGAAGTTAATTTGATTCCCGTAGGCATAGGTTTTCACTTGGTATTTCACAACCCTACAGGGTCCCTACACCCTAACTTTAGAATATTGATGTTAACAKCAACAACAGAAAGATGTGTTTCAGAAAACTACCTCAGTTTAAATAGATTTACTTAAATTTAAGAAAGTCTAAAAGCTGCTTAACTGAGTAATGTTGGTTCTAATAAATCTATACGTAGCACAAAAAGTAAGTAAATGTGTATTTCTTTGTAACCATGCTTTTTGGCAATAAATCTTATAGSGAGCATCTGATTATCAGCACCTGGAGTTGCCAGAAGCTCAAAACAAGTGTCAACAAAAACATCAGAATAAGCTGTTTACAGAGAAGAAGGCAAATTTTTCATTTGCACAACTCAAATACTGCTCATCCTACAAATGCATGTTCCTTGCAAATGTGGCAACATTTAAAWGAGAAATGAACRGGCTTTCTAACAGCATAAGATTTGTTGCCAAGAAGCATTGTTACAACATAGAAAGAATCTACCAAACACACATTTCCTTTCTTTTTGTGTGAAATTTATATGTTGCAGATGATTTGAATAAAAAACGGAGCCAGTCTTGGGTTTGATTCCAACATCTTAAATGAAAACAGTTTTTATTTCTACATGCARTGTCACAGAAAGGAAACAGTTTTATGTTGATTCATCTGAACATGTATCTTTTWTATTTATTTATTTTTTTGCAGGCCTAAAAGAATCTGCCACAATGATGACAGTCAAAGTGTTTGTGTTTAGTTTTCTCTTCACTGCAGGTAGGTCAAGAAAACGATTTTTCTAATAAATATCAATGCACTGTCATGTTTTTCTGGGTTTTTTGCTTTAAAAAAAGCGAACTATTATACAATAATATCTCAGTTTGAGTTCAGGTGCAGAATCATTTGGTCTGTTGAATAGATTTTATTCATATTAAAAGATTATTTAGTAAATAATTAAATCTATAAAAAATGCATGTCTGGAATAAAAAATATTGCTGACATCACTTTAAACTTGTATTTTATTTCTTCTTGCAGCTATTTCCGCTCCTCTAAGAGGTAAAAGTATTAAATATCAGTGTAACACTCGTGATTCTGACTCATCACTTCTGATGAGTCACTCTTACTGTAAATGTTTGTTTTTTATTTTTTCACTTTGGTGCAAAACAGGCGACGAAGAATCGATGACGCTGTTCCACGGGGAGGATTTCCACATCCTGCTGTCGTCTCACGAGATGGAGGTCACGTTCAAGAACCGTTCGGACCCTCGGAAGCCCGTGGTGCTGATGAGGGGGGGCGAAGTGGTCAGCAGTCGGGCCAAACCGAACCTGCACCTCAGTCACCTCATTATTGAGTCTGTGGGCGAGGGGGATGAGGGGCTGTACATCATGAAGAACCCACAGAATCCAGMCGACGTCAAACAGATTTCACTTATAGTCCGAGGTGCTGAACGCAACACGTTACGAGCTGTTAGAAAAGTTAGAAACAGACATGAAGCATAGTTTAAACTCAAMTACTAAAGCTGGGGAGGCACTAATACAAGTGTAGCTCATAATCTGGTGTGATTTCTAATGCACATTTGATCCAGTTGCATTTCCCCGGTGGTGTTATTTCACCACACACACACACACACACACACACTCAAACACTCAAAATAAAGATTTAATTTAAGATATAATTTAAATCATTCATCTAAACTGCATTTTTTAAATGTAAATATGAAAATGTTATTGTCTGTTTTATTAATAATGGCCCATTGGATTAATAATTTTGAATCATCCAGTCAGCAGCTGGATAAATCTCCAACTAACACGGGAAAACTCAGGAGTGATTCAAACATGCAGAGAGAGAAGATTAAAGCAAATTGTAGTGAAGTAATTTGTGGAAGAAGAGACACATGGAGGGAGTGATGTGTTGTGAGGTAATAAAGRWRYGTGTGTGTGTGTGTGTGTGTGTGTGTGTGTGTGTGTGTGTGTGTGTGTGTGTGTGTGTGTGTGTGTGTGTGTGTGTGTGTGTGTGTGTGTGTGTGTGTGTGTGTGTTTAGCAGTGTGATGAAGCTGTCAGGGTATAATCTGTGGCTCTTAAATGACCGACCCACTCCTCTTTTTCTCCCAGCCTGGCTGTTTTCCTGTCTTTATCTTGTCTGTTCTGTCTTTCCGCCTGTTTGATTTTTACGTCCACCCTCTCATTCCCCTGATATTTTTGGATCTCTGCTCTTTTGTTTCTTTACAGTCAATTTGCCTTTCACTGCATCTAAAGTTCCCCCCATGTTCTTCATTCCTTCATCTAATAAGAGCCCATTTACACATCAGTTTGTCTTTAGCGATCAGACTGTATTGGTGCTAAATATGGGACTGTTCAGTCTTAATGTTCATTGAAAACTGATTGGACCCTTTTAATCTGAGTTTGTCCTGAATGGCTTTGGACTTGTAGGGTGTAGGGYACATTTGTCAAAACCAAGGCCCCTGGGCCAAATGTGGCCCAGCACAGCTTTTTATGTGACCCGCGAGAGCTTCAAAGTTGCATTAATGTCTTAAAATAAGCATATGCTGCTTTAAAGCCAGCATTGACCATAAACTACTCCTCCCATAATGCATGTCAATTATTTTACCTACAAAATGATGGCATCCCACCACTAGATTGAGGTGCACAGGGTTCCAAAGTAGTTGGTAATATTCGCCATGTAAAATTCTCAATTTTGCTGAATTTTCCCCAACTACTTTTGCTGCAGCCCAGTTGTATTGGGAAGTGGCGATTTCCCATTTACAATTTGCCAATTTAAATTGGAAYGCCCCTCCAGTTTGAATTCCTTGTAGAAAAGTGGGAGAGTTCAAAATTCTAGAAGGTAGCAGCTCACCACAACTCAACAGTGAGTAAAACTSTTTTACTTTTACTTTAATAGTATTTTTGTTTTATTTRTTTCACATTGAATCAGYCGTACTCGTRGTACTTTTCAGTGTTTAATAAGAGGACRTGTTAAAATGCTGCTTATAACATGAAAAACTACGTAGAGCAATRAGAGGAGGAATGTGACATTTTGTGTTCAGTYGAAAATTTACGAAACATGGATATTAATTACAACTGGCCCTTTAAGGGTCATAATAATGAACATGTGGCCTTTGGCGAAAATAAGTTTGACAATCCTGGTGTAGGGTWACTGACATTTGATCACAAAAACATTACCTGCCAGGTGTGAACCCTCTCTCCTCTTTCATCTCTGTCATTTATTGTCTYTACAAAGGTAATTAATCCCCATTTATTTCCCCTCATTTAACTGTCAGGCAGTTTCTAGTCTCCTCTGATTACCTTTTGTTGCTTGTTTAAAACTAAACTTTTTTTTTCTAGACTGCACCATCGAGCAGATGATCAAGTATGGAGGCGCTTTCAATATTCCGCTGCTGGGGGTGAATCCTCCCATCACATTAGAGTACAGGCCCATCGACGTGGAGGCCAACCAGACGTCGAGGTAGAGTCAGCAGAATCACACTGATCTTTTGAACTCACAGATCCACACTGACAGTTTTCAGCACTGACATTCATGAGCTGAAAAAAGTTCATCCTCCCTGACTTTCCTCCCCACAGACCAGCTTTTGTCCTGCTGACCGCCGCGGGCTCCTCCACAGAGCCCTATCAGGAGCGTATCAGCGTCAGCGAGCGATACGTTACCCTCAGCGGCGTTACGGGCGCAGACGAGGGGAGCTACACCGTCAGGGATAACAAGGGAGTCATCCATAAGAAAGTGTGTTTAAATGTTAAAGGTGAGAACACAAATGAACAAAAGAATTTTTTCGTCTATGCTTTGTTCAGTCAGGATGTATTGCTGTAGTTTTTATGCTCCTCTGGCTTGCTGTAATGGATTTTTAAAGACTGTAGTGTTATTGAGGGAATAATGCATTTAAAGACGTAAGCAGAGCCATGGTGTGAATATCTTTCCTTCTTCCTTGTCTTTTTTTTTGTCTCAGAGCACAATGAATTTGTGACCTTGTCATATGGAGAAAAACTGAAGATCAACCTGATTCTCAACAGCTCAGTGGTCCAGCTCTTCTACGCCCCCGCCTCTGACTACTCACCCCGCCTGCTGCTGGAAAAGGGACAATTTACAACTGTAAATAAAATATTTCAGAAAACATTATCAGCAGGGATTTTTTTTCTAGACATATGAAAGTCTAGGTTCAAAAGTTATCCTTTGTTTAATGTGTGGATAAAGCATGTGTTTAAATACATTTGTGTGTAAAATACAGATTATAGGCACATGATTATAACTGTACTACAACTGACAGCTCATAATCTTCCCTGATGCGTTTATTTATGCATGACAGCATAGAAAATCAAAACATTTTTTTACAAGAAAAATCCTAGTGGCAGACAGTGATTCCCAAAGTTCAAGTTGGGGTCTTGAAAGGATTTTCAGAATTAAGTACATTTAAACATGACTATTAACAATACGTTTTTTGCCTTAGTTGTTACAAAAGAGTGAATGTAATGTTAAAATGTATGAAATTAGCATAATGAATAGCTAATATTTCCTTGTTTATTTGACCTAATACCAATGTTTATCTCCCAAAAATAGTTGAGGGCACAGGTCTCTACTGCTGTTATTTTGTGGGTCAAACTCTGAAAAGTTTTGGAAACCATTAGTTTAACACATTCATAAAAAATCAGTT